GTACAACACATGGTGGCCCCGCTACACAGCTGAGCTCGGTGAAGAGCAGTTACTGAACTGAGGAGTGACTGTGATGCGAAAGTATGTAGGCTATATGTGCAGGCGGAGCCTGACATCTGTCGTCATCACGTCACCTGCCTAAAGGCGTGATTAGAGGCGGCTTCAGCCAGGACACGCAGGAGCGTGGTTCCCATACATGATGTTGTACCTCGTTCCTTTCCTTCAGGGAACAGTAGTTATATGCATAACATTACGTTTTCTTTTAAGTAAGTAAGAACGTTTTATATAGTTTACATGTTTATATAGCACCTTTCACATGAATATCACAAAGTGCTTAACAGAGAGCAAAATACAGTAAGTAAAAACAACAAAACAACCATGAATATAAAATACGTATAATCAATAACAAATTAAAAACAGTAAACAAAGCTTAACTAATAGCCTGTCTAAATAAAAATGTCGTAAGATGTTTGGGGCCACCACCTGAAATGCTCGCTCTCCATGGGTTTTGTAATGGGTTTGAGGCAACACCAGCAGCATTAAATTCAGGATAAGTAATAAATATATAAAAATATAAATTTTCCACTTGTGGACTTAGAATTAGTGGAATCAAATTTAGCTGAAGCTATTTCTGCTTACGGTTTCTAAAGTTAGCAAATTAGATAATCCACCACATGATATGCTAGTTTAGCTATTAGCAAATTAACGGATAAATGAAACTATTCCCACAGCAAAAGAAATATGCAGAATAACATATAATGTTGTGAAATTTTAAAATAAAAATAAGATTTTGTTTCAACATGTATGCATTTCTTAACCATGGAACTGACAAAATTTTCACTTGAAATGTAAACTTTAATACAATGGAGTGCTGATACCAGCATATCAGTATCATTATTGTTATTGCAATCTGTTCAGAGTATCGGGGCATTTTGTACAAGTGGCCCTACTTGTAATAATGGTGGTAGAGGGGGTCCAATACCAATACCAGTATCTGTGTCTGGACACCACTGGATTTCATCCATGGAATTTAAACCAAACATAGTCTCACACACTTTACTTGCAAAATATTCACAATCAGATACCAAAGCATTGAGTGAGGCATTGAAAAGTAACAGCAAAGACTATGAAAAATGGCTCCTTTTGCAGGATCTAGATTCCTGTCATACAAAAGACAATTACTGTCTGTAAAAATAAAAAAGAAAGTGTTCATCAAGTAAAAAATTGCAGACAAATAACTTTAGGATACTTTTAAGCATGCTTCTCCACAGGGGATAAACTTTGTGTTTTAACTGCACTTTTCAAAAGCCTAAACAAAATCCCTTATGAAGAAAACACAGACATTTATATTATTTAGCATTTTGCTTAAAGCGCCATTCAAATATATATATATATATANACCTGAGAGACACCGTAGCAACTCTTTTGCATTTGGAAGTGGGGGCTGGGGGTGGGGGGAGGACCAGGGAGGATGATTCAACCAGGGAAGATGATTCAACCACTAGATGTCGCTGAAAACAACAAATCCTACACACTGTGCCTTTAAGTAAGGTAAAGTATTTGTACTTCATTACTTCTGTTCGTAGCATAGTTTGAAAGGGGGGTCTCTGACCAGACGCTAATGCTGTTTGGGGGCCATGGCATGGAAAAGTTTGGGAAGCCCTGTATTATACAGGGGGTGGGGGAGGGGGGTGGACCAGGGAGGATGATTCAACCACTCAACCACTAGATGTTGCTGAAAACAACAAATACTACACACTGTGCCTTTAAACTTTGGTGTGACCTTCCTGTCTTAAGTTATGAGTACTATTCATTTTTAAAGTGACTCTCTTTTTCCCGGTGCGTTGGAGTAGTTTTGACCAAGCTGAATTATGTCCCTCCACATGTACGACGTTCAAATTTTGTGCAGCTAGCACCTTCCTGTCTCGAGTTATCACTAAAACTAATATTTTCATTTAAAAATATCTAGGTGCTTTCTGGCCATTTGGACTGAGCTACACATTCCCCAGCTGCACCAGGCTTTTTCAAACCTCACCCAAAATGGTCAGTCTGACCAATCACGTCTTTACCAAACTCCTACCACACACCAAGAACCTCCCACTTAGTGACTGCAGAGACCCACTTCTCGTTATTTCTGTCAATGAATACTTCAATCTGTTTCAGGTTATTCCATCTCATCTCATCCTGACAAACTGTATCCTCTATCAGTCCAGTCTGTCTCAAGTTATGGCTTAAAACCAGTACTTATTTTTTTCCCCCAGGAAATTACCATTGAAATTAGTTTGAACATTTCACCCTAAATATGACAAATCAAACAAATTCTTGGTTTTCTTTTTTAACAATCACTTTCTGCATGGCATATTGGTTCTTTTGTGGACAGAGGGGGAAAATGATCCCTTTAAAATGCCTCATCCTTGATCCAAAGAATGACCTGTTTAACACTTGTGCTTCATTTTTGCAGCATTTGTAAATCTTCTATAATAAATGCTTAATGAATAAAATTAGTTATGTGGATGATTTTGAAAAGACGAAAAAAAGTTCTGCATATTAAACTCAAACAAAGTACATCCATCCAAATGCCTTTTCATTTTGCGCCCTTTCAGTAAAATTTCAGTCACTTGAAACCAACACAGGCAGATAAAATGAGACTCGTGTCACCCTGGAAACAAGGACAGCTTTGATTGCCAAATGCAGCAGTTTGTCTGAGCTTCAGTGTGTGAGCACACAGAGGATAGAAAGTCAAACTAACACAATCTCACACACTTCAGTAAAATGTTGCTTTTAACACAATGTTAACACAATGCTAACAGCAACTGAAGCAATAAGAGTAAAACGCTGAAAATTACACTGCAAATCTTTAAAGGGCCATGCAGTAAACTGAACAAAGACAACATTTCTGATCATTTTAACTGCGGTCAGTGCTCTATTCTCCATCATAAAGCAAGAGTGCAGTTTTTTTAAAGGAAATCTGTTGAATGGGTTACAAACAAATATGTTTCTTTTTGTAGAAAGCTTTGTAACAAACACAGTGTGGTGAAACAGAGTAATTTTGATCAAATTGGTGCGCTAACAAATAATCCAAGCAGGGCCAAGACTAAGGCTGCCATTTCAAACAGTGGTGTCCTCATGCTGATACCAGTACCGGGCTTGATACCAGCATTTTTACAAGTACGTGTACATAAGGCCCAAATATTTGGGACCAATTCCAATATCAGTATACTGTAATCAATACGTCATTGAGTGTTACAAATCACATTTCATGTGAAAAGTTTTTAGTTCCATGTTAAAGAAATTTATACAATTTCAAAGATAATCTTTTTTTGATTCATCTTAAAATGTTGCAACAGTATCATGCGGTATAACTGATTTGATACACTCATAGGGACTATAGGCCTAAAAGGAAGGAGAGCCACCTTGTTCTACAATAAAGAAATGTTTTTAAAGTAAATTGTAACTCAGTAAATATTCGATACTGGTGAGTACCCAAACTGAAGTACTTGTGCTTAAAATCAGCCAAATAAAAACAGTTTTCAGACTCAGGACACCCCTAATTTTTATTCAACTCTAATCACAAATATTTTATTTTGGCCTATTTTATACATCTTTTCAACAATGTAAGTTTTAGATTTCACAGTAATTTGAGTGTAAATTTTACAATATTCATGTCTGAGGCTCCTCAGAATGGACCAGGATTGTTACAGCTAATTCCATCAGCTGCTGTTAGTTCTTGCAAATAACAGAAATTTAAGTAAATACAATGTAAAGCAAATATTGCAGGTGTAAAGGCATGTCAAATATTTGACATGGCCAATTCTGAATTTTTTGAGGTTTGACGTAGATGACGATTATCCTTGATCCCACTTGGACTAGCTTGTTAATTTAATCAGAATTAAACTTTATTCCTCCAATTTGAGGATGCTTAAAAGCTATCTCAAACAGGTAAAGTATTATTTATTCACAACCTTTGCAGAGAACCACATGACAAAAGAGAGAATAACACTTTAAGTGGAGCACTGAAAGCAGCCAAAATATCACAAAATGTTCTCTTTGTCCAGTTTACACAGACTTCTGGTGTATTACTGTGTGTTACTTTTATCGCTTCAGTTGAAATCGTTTAAAGAGTTATCTATGTCAGGTAAAATATTCTTGTTCATAACTTTTCAAAGAACCCAACGTCAAAAATCAGAACTATCCCTTTAACACACTGATGTTTCCTTAAACATAAAAAAAAACATCAGAAAATTGCAGAGAAAATCAGCATGTCAACCAAAAAAGAATGGAGCAACACAATGCGATTATTTTATATTTTTATATAAATTAACAATTTATACATTGTTGATAAAGAAAAAAATACAAAATTCTTTTGATCTTACATGACATTTACATGTGAAATTTTACACAACATATTCAATAACTTACAAATGCTTTATCTGCATAAAAAATAGATCTCTTTACAAAAGTTCTGTAATATGTACATATTCACATACACCTGTAATATGTACATATTCACATACACAGGTTCTTGAATGAGATAATTGTGTGGCACGTTTTAAAAGCTTTCTACTTTGCTCCATGGAGTCTCTGGATGCAAGACTCACAGTTTGCTGTTTGTACCAGGTGCATTTCTTCACTCATCCTGTAAGAAACGTGAACTCTCAAAATATATTACATATCGATAACACAAGACAATGTCAAAGGGTGCCATCAAGTATCAAAACTGTATAAATGTACAAAATGGAGTAGCAATGACACGAGTCAACGTAGTGGTACAAAGTACTATAGCAGCAAACTGCGATACTGGATCGCTTTTTGCCGACATGCACAGGTATGAAAACTGTGAGCTGCTTTTCGCCTTCTCTCCAGAAACCATCTGACATCACTCTGCTAAATCATTGCAAACTGTGCAGAGAAATCACACCAGTGTGCAGTTTTACAAATGAAACAAGTGTTGCGTTTTCTTTTCCAAAAAAAAAAAAAAAAAAAGACATGCCGATACAGTAGTCAAGGCACTGCAATGACGTAGAAATGTGATGACAGCGATGAGTTTGTCGTTCTTTTTTAAAACACAGTTGGTCTCGAGTGACGGTGGTTCATGTCTAAAAGTGTGCAAATTCATTTATGTGTACTGTACATATGTGTTGGCTGAAGCTGACATCGAAATGACTTGTGACAGAAAAAGGGTGAACGGAGAAAGGGGGCCGAGGAGGCTGTATATTCACGAAGAGTCTTAAAGTAGGAGCGGTCAATGAGAATTTTCCATCTAAGGCACAGTTTCCCCAAAGCAAATTAGAGAAACACAACTCAGTTTGTGAAAATCAGAGATGGCTGAACTCTACCACAGTCTGTGTTTATGGTACTCTAAAGTAAGGCGGATGCATTACAAAGGTTTCATAAGCAAAACAAAACATTTAGCTTCACCCACCCTCACACTGCCAACGACACGTTTGCACTGAAGTGAAGACATCCAGACTTAAATAAACATCTGGGAAAGCTGGCCAGGTTCTGCGCACTGTATTTGTGCTCATCTTTCTTTCTTTTTTTAATATAAAAACTAAATAACAAAGAAACAAGTGAAAAAAAAACTCCTACTTTAAGATTCATGACATATACAGACTCAACGCTGGGGTTATTCACCCTAAATAAGCTTTTTTAAAATTATTTATTTCAAATGTTTCTGTGCTGAATAAAAATCTTAAGAAAATACACTTCAAAGTCAGTTTTCTGAACATGAAACACGTCTCAAGGTGACCAACACACTAGAAGGAACAGTACGCCTCAACTAGTCAGCAGTTTAAATGGTCACACTTAAACATTTCTGCCCAAAAACAAATGAATTGCACCCAAGTTGATAATAAACCTAACGCAGGCGGTATCTCTGCTGAACAAAACGCACTCTGTTGTTGTCAGAGAACCTGCACTGTAACAATAAAAGCCCTAGCATTCCCAGTTGCAGTCAAAAAAAAAGTACTGCACTTCAGCAGTTAAATCCCCGACCATATATCTCATCAGTAAGAGGTACCGTCCAATTAAGAGGTATAATTGACCGTATAACTTTGAACAGACTACAGCGCTGACACGATCCGGAGAGGCAGTTTCTTTCTGCTGCTGCATTTCTCCTGACACACCCACCGCCTGGAAAATGGATCACATTGATCAGCTCACAGTTCAGAAGCTCCTGTTCTCCATAACAGAAAATAACTCTCATCAGGGCTGAGAACAAAGAAAGAAGATGGTAGCTCTGGATTGTTCCATTAAAAAAACATTAAATGTCTATGTTTTTTTTTGGCATTGTCAAATAACCCCTCTATATTTTTACCACGGAGCATAAAAATACTCTATTTTATCTATTCGCCAACAAGGAGCCGACACTCACAGAGTGCAAAAAGACAAGATCTGAAAAGGTGTGGAACCCACCCTCTCCTCTCCTCTTCCATCTTTTATGTCATGAATGCAGAAGTTGGCAACGTTTTGTACCGTCGCTGAAAGTGTGCTTTTATGTTTTTTTTTTTAGCAAAACTGAGTCTTTGCCGCAAGTCAGCAGAGCGTGAGGACATTAGCTTCTACGTTGTCGCGTGAAGAAAAAAAAATTGCTCGTATTAAAGTGTCTTTCTCTCGATCAGTAGACATCAAACCATGGTGCAGATAGTGTTGAGATTGGGGTCGAAGCGGACAACTTTCCCCTCAGCAGCTTTCGTGTTTGTGTTGTACATGGGGTTCTCGAACGTCGCCTGCCCGTTGTTGTTCTCGTGGACAGAGCACCCTGTGTACTGAGCTTTGTCGGTTTTTCTGCGGAATCATACAGATAAATTAAAAAAAGGGGGTTAGCACATTAGCTGACAGACAGGCTTCCAATTACCAGCCCCAATCTCCCAATCACATAAACATATTTTCATTATCTTGGTGTGGACAGCTGCAAAAGGTAAATGAGGCTGTGAGGTAATTACGATTGAAAAGAGCAGTCAGAAGAGCCTCGTGCCATTTCAGTGGTAACTAACACATTGAGAGCAAAATTTGCATGTCAGACACTGCACGAATGCAGTTTTTTGAGAGCTAATCTGCTTAAATCAAGACAAAATGCATCCATCTACACACATACTGCACAAATGCACCTAAAATACAATGCGTATGATATTAAAGTAGTTCTCATTAAAATGGTCTGATGTACGCTGCTGTGAAACTCAGTTTGGATGGTAATACATTGACTTGTGTTGCATCATGCTTTGAAGTTTCACACAAGCACACTACTGTTTCCAGTACGGAGCCTGACTGCAGCACCGCGAGCTGTAAGAAGCTCGGGGCATCGACTACCTGGTGTTTTTGAGTTTTTGCCTTGGCTAAAGGTGTTCAGACATCTACATGAAAATTAAAAATCGAAAACCCTTTCAACCTCGGATCTGTGGTGAAAAGCTAAAACTCATGGCACCGCCTACCTCTGCTTGTAGAGATAAAACCCAAGGCCTGCAAAGATGAGGGCAAAGAAAGGCACAAGGATTGCGACAGCAACAGAGCTGCTGTTGGTAGAACCGTTGGCTTCAAGGTCCGGGAGGGTGACGTTTTCTCTCAGAGTCAAACCTGCCAAAAGGCAATAATAATCATTAAAAAAAAAGACAGCCGACATGATTGCAATTAGTTCAAATTTAGAGCACAAACAGCCAAATTAAAAAGAAAAGACAAAGCAGTGAAAGAAAAGTTACATATCTGCTGACGATGGCAATGATGATGAAAATGATGGTGAAGATCATAATGCAGAGCCGCAGCAGCCACTTGATGAAAAAAAGCCAGCCACACTGATAATCATCACTGTGACTGTGATAATCTGGTTGAGAACAATCATGAGGTAATGACAGCAGTGATGAGGAGCACAAAGAAATGAAGCAGAATGATGCTGAAGTGGATAATCAACGACTTCATGTATGAAAGAGACTGAAACTCCATACATGTTCTCAACATGGGGAAAAAAAATCACAAAATGTATAACTTACAGAATAAAAGAGGTGCTGTTAGAAAGCTAACAGTATATTTTGTGTAAAACTCTGTCATATCAAAAATTGTATTATAATGTGCATAATATTTTGGATTTGGTTGCGTTATATCATACTCCACATGCACTATATACTACTGAATACTATACCAATCATACATGGTTTTGTATTGTAGCTTAATGGATCATATATAACACGGTATTGTATCCTGTCCACTTCTCTTCTAATCAGAAATTTTTATTCACCTCAAAGAGAAATAATTTATGCTACAACTGCACATGCAGCCAGAAGGCATGAAGAGCAGCACACAAAATAGTTTAAGTTAAGATATACAGAATAAAACCGAAAATTAAAAAAACAAAAAAAAAAAAAACAAAAGAAGAGTTTAAAACAATGTAATAAGATGTCTATATTGAAGGTGGAATTAAAAGAAATTCACTGGATGCCTCTTTTCGATGTATACATTAGGATTGGATAATACTGATAAATATTTATCATGATTAATTGTGGCATTTAGCCAATAAAGATTAATTTAACAATTACAGATGACAGTTACACTTGCATGTGGATGACGTGGCCTTGGTCTGAACTTTCTGGCTTTCCTCAAACTCTGGTTTATGTTGGTGTTTCAGGTGATTAAACAGGTTTGTAGGGTTAAGGATAGGGTCAGCCATTTGACCCCACCTTCCACCATTGGGCTCACATGCATACCTGATAGTGACAGACCCAGTCCCAATACACCTTACGCACCTCTATGGAGTGTGCACTCAGTCGGAGTGCACATAAGGGTTCCAGTGTACAAGTTACAAGTGTGCAAAAAATCGGAGAATTGGAGACAGTATTGGTTACGTCATCGACTTGCACTTCTGCGTCGTAACTGTGACATCCAATGTGGCAGTACTGGTCACTGTTTTGGCATTTGAACTGCTAAAAAATGATGCAACTACAACCATTAGATTGGAAGGTGCTTGGTGGACGTTGCCACATTTCTGCCTTTCATTTCAAAACATCACACACAATTGTGGGCAACACACTTTGTCGAAGATCGCTTGGATGCGGGCTTAGCCGAAGTGTGGATCAAGGGTGCAAAGGGGCAGGGTGGAAGACCACTCTGGAGAACTGGGACATACTACGCACTCGAATCCTTCAGCCAGAATGGGCATTTAAAGTTCACAAGGATGGAAGTGCGAATATTGAATATTGACCAAGTTTTAGTGTGTCGTACACAAAAATATGTTATCACATGGCACTAAATGCAATAGTTTCAAAGTGGCTGATAATAATTTTTGACAGTTTTACTGACAAATAATTCCACACAATTTTGCCCAACCATAATATACATACTGTATAGGCGAATATATAGCTTATGAGTAATTTATTCATAAAAAATGTTTATGTCTGTAATTTGTCTAAAACGCAGTGTGACAAGGCCTTAAGCAGCATTACCATAATCATTGCACTCAATGCAAAGAATTTCCATGTGTTACATGATAGACTATTAATTTATGGTGAAGGTAGGAGGAGTTACAGAGTTTGATGGCTACTGGGGGTGGAGCAATTCCTGCAGAGTTCAGTGGAGCAACCTATGTTGGTCAATCTGTGTTTAAAAGTGCTTTTTATCCAGCCACAACATTGAAGGGGTTGATCATCATTAATAATGATGGACTGAAGTCTGGACAACCTTTTCCACTCATTGTTTCTGACCAGCCCTTATCCCATCATATCATATCCAGTTGGTTTCACATTGTTTTAAAACAAGAAACCCAAGTTTCAGTTTTCAGAAAAAATGGGTTTTAGTTGATTAATGCAAATTTTTTGAATGATTGTTAATGACATAAACATATATTTAGCAGGTCAAAACAGAAAACAACTGTTTTGTCAGTGTCAACTCGTAACTGGACACAGCTGCCATCCTCTCAGACAAACATCAGAGAGGCTCAAAGGTAGACCAGAACTTGTCATGTTATAATTATTTGCACTTTGGTACAATTAATTGAGGTAATATGTATCTTTCTTGTTTATCTTTTAGTTAAGAAAAGCCAAAACATTTTCTGCATGCCTGCGAAGATAAGAACATCTCAATGCTTTGTTTAAATCCATGAAAAGAAGAAAGAATTCATCGCCTCTCTACGTTAGTTTTCGGCTCATTGATCAGAATTTCTTGTGACATCGCTTCACAGTCATGATTAATTTCTAAGATTTGCATAGGTTTTTATGAGGTTTTGCTTTAAAATAGATGTTGCAAGGCAATACTGCAATGTTGACAATTTCCAACTCTGTAGCACAGAAAAAAAAAAGAAAAAGAAAAAAAAAACAAACTTCAGAAAAATAGCTAACTGACTGTTTTGCCTTTGGTACACAAATGTATCTTTATTGAAAGCCAGAGGTCTCTGCAGAACTTGAGCGTCATTCAAACCGACAGAGGACGATGAGAAGAGGAAGGATGGATGAAATGAACTTGTTAAAAGTTAAGGTGAAGTGTGCCGTGGCAGATGTTAACAAACTAGACAAACAGCACAGAGCAATTCACAGCAGAAATGATGAGATAAAATGAAGCTGTTCTGATTCAGTGCAGAGAAAAGAGCTAAAACAAAAATATTTTACTTGATCAGAAGCTGTAAACATGTTCAGTTTAGGAAAAAGAATAACCTCAATAGACTAAAATATGTTAACATTTCATAGAATAATACAAATTAAAAATGTGAACTTGTGCATGAAAATAGACTCTTTCTTTTTAGCTTTAAAGTCCATTTCATGTGCGAGTGTGACCTGAAGTGAGGTCAAACAAAATGGATTTCTGGATTTAAATGTCATCACTGCCTTTGCTTTTGTTATGTAAAATAAAAGATAAGCACAAGTGACTGGGGATATAGAGAGTTTGGGTATTTTGAAAGTTGCTTACCAAGTCGCTGCAGCCCAAACTGTCCATAGTCTTTACCCTGAATGAAGCCTTGGAACACGTAGCTCCCACCCTCGGGCTCAGCAGAAACCTGGGTGAAACACAGAACACGTGGCTCCAGGAACAGGACGTTTTGTTTGAACCACAAAAGAACAATTTTCTTTTTTTTGTTTTCCTTTTCCCCAAGCAACTCAGTCAGTGTCAAGTGTGTTCCACTCCACATCAAAAAGTGCAGCTATACTGTATTAGGTACGACAGGTCACACATTTTGTCACGCTACAATATGAAACAGCACCTTTGCTATTTTTGAAATTGCACTTGACAATAGGAGCTAAGCCGTATGCTATCAGTAGCTCAGCGGTGCGCAGTCACCTGTCACAAGCTCTTAGTCAATGCACTTTGAAGTTTATTACAACAACAAAAAAAGTTCTGATCCTCTAAAATTGTTCTGGAGATGTTGAGGGGCTCGCAGATGTCAGGTGTGTTTGAGCTCATTCAGCAACTCACTAAAGGTGAAACAGAAACTAATGGACAGCTGTGGTCAATATACCCTCATCATAGGCATGAATGATATTCATTTTAGGTTAGTTTTTTTTACCTTACTTTTTCCAGGGTGTGTAGTTGTACAGTGTACAGTTTGTGGATTTTTTTCATGGAACCTAGTAGTTTGTGGTAATCCCTGTGATATCAAAGAAACCGCAAATAACAGTGAGGAACATCAATTTTTTTATTCTCTCACTTTTTGAGTTTTCAAGCTAAATTAAGAAAAATATAATTTACAAATTTTGCAACATAAATGTTAACGTAAATTCTGTTCCATAAAAAACAACAGTACAGTATGTGACACATATTGTGTCTGCTCGAAGCGCAAACATTCTGCCTTCTAACAGTACCGTGTGACATGTAGCTCCTAAATGTTCAGCTCTTTTGTGTTATGATGCCACCCCAAAAACACATTGTAGGGCTTTTCTGGATCACATCCAGTATTTGCATTTCTTTTACAATTCGCGGTGAAAAGAAGCTGCAGTTGGTCAGGGCTTCACTATATATATATATATATATATGTGTGTGTGTGTGTGTGCATGTGTGTGCGGGTTTTTCCTACAACATGGGGTATTTTTTACAAAAAAAGCAGCCAGGTGGGGACCGAAGTGAATCGTGGGGACCATTATTAGGTCCCCACGGGTCCAAATGCATGTTACAGGTGTGGGGTTAGGTTTAGGACCAAGGTTTAGGTTAGTTTTAGGGTCAGGTAAGTTTCTGTGAGGTTAATTTTAGAATATATGGTCAGGGTTAGGCTGTAAATCTAAAAACATGAATGGAAGTCAATGGAAGGTCCCCACGGGGTCAAGAAACAAACATGTGTGTGTGTGTGTGTATTAAAAAATACAACTTTAATGTATTTTTAAAAACAAGAATTTTAAACACAGGATATTTTCCATTTCACTCAGCATTGGGAAAATACACCAGTAAAAATACACCAGTAAAAATACACCAGTAAAAATACACCGCTGCCCATCCTGAGCCTGATTCTGATGGAGATTTCTTCTTGTTATCAGAGAGTTGATCCTTTTATCACCAACATGCTGATAAGGATGGGGGATTGCAACAAAATGATGACTGGATAAGGTGCTAGCTTCCTTTAAAAGTTGGGCGATATTGGCAAAATATGATTTATTTATGATTAATTTGGGCATCTAGCCAATAACAATTAATACGATGATTAAACGATGACAATTGCACCGGCATGATTTGACTCTAAATAAGTCTCCCTGTGTTCTAAAATTTTACAAATCATCAGTCAAACTAACTTCTTCATTTTAACAGTCATGACCCTTCCCACGTTCTCCTTCCGGTGCTAACGTTACCAGTACAACAGATGGACAGAGTGCGTTGTGGATCCTCGGCTGAGTAGATTTGTTTCCACCATTTGCTGGAGGAGAGTTTGTTGTAGTTACTTTACATCGGTCCGCATTTTCTGACTTCCCTTATACTCCGGTTTATGGTGGGTTTTCATTGAATAAAATGAGTTAGCATTAGCTCCATGTTACCATTAGCATTAGCTACACGCCACGTCTTACATAAGTGACTAATCGTAGTTATTGCGAAGCACCACATATTAACCAGTGACAGTTTTTTCTACAAAATCTGCACATTATAGGATTTTGCTCATCCCTACTTTCTTTGATAACTTTTTACTTTTACTAATTGACGTTTCATGAAGCACTGCATGTGAATGTTTTGTATTTTAATAGGAATGGACTGGCTGTTATTGGGTTTGAATCTGGATTTGCTTTAGACTGAACTGGATTTATAATTTGGACTTGTTTGTTTCTTATTGTACAGTGCTCCGAGATGACTTTTGTTGTGAATTGGTGTTATAAAAACAAACTACTGAATTAAATTACTACCGAGGCCTTTTTGCTGTAATTCCATTTTGAGTAAACTCATTTCTGGTCCTGACAAAGTTATGATCTTGCCTGAAATGCCTGTCAGTCAGAGTTGATCAAATAAACTAATTAAACAAAGTAAAGAAAATGTTGCCGATTCTAATTAATTTTATAGAAACCCTGCTTGTGTACACTCACAAATCCATCCATTGTCCAGGTCTCATCAGTAATCCTGTTCATGGAGCTGTAGGCCAGCGCTCTCATCTGGTACAGCAAGAGCATTAACCGTGCCTCCTGACGTTTGTAGACACCTGCAGGATTAAACAAGAGGCAAAGCAAATAATTCACAAGTTAAAAATAAAAGAAGCAGTGAAACCTAAAAAAGTGAACTAAGGCTGAGAAAAAAAAATAGAAACCTTAAGAAAAGACTGCTGAGGGGGAGGGGGGGAGGATGCAAGAAACTCTTGCAGACAGTGCAGATTAATTCATCCACCTTTAAAACCAATAGTTAATTTCCAGACTCATGCATGAGATCATTTGGTGATTGACTGATTGACACGAGGCACCCTCAAAATAAATGGAAGTGACATACAGAGGTGCTGGGGGAGGAAAGGGGAGGTGCAGAGTCGGAAGCAGAAGACAGATGATTTATAGATGACTCACCAGAGAGCAGAAACTCCATGCTGCTGTCTGTTAAAGTTACATTGACTTTTCCACTTGTGGCGTTAAAGCTTGTGACTGTCAGACTCATTGGCTGCTTCTGGCCCTTGTAATCATAGGAGCCCTTCCAGATGAAATCAGGGGCGAACACATCATCAGGAACTGCAGAAAAAACAAGATTATTTACACAAAAAAAAAAAAAACAACAACACAAAGGTAATGAACGCGTTTGAATATTAAAGCCACTAAAGTTTTTAACTAAATATTTTTATAGTTTTGTATTTAATTAAAGTTAAATACAAAACTTAATTAGATGTGCAGAGAATAAAATATATTACTGACAAGCTTTTCATCCTATATATTTATTTATTTTCTCAAGAATATTTCAATAATTAAGAGACTGTGATAATACTAACATGGTAAAATCAGCAGAACAACAAACACTTGACAGTTTTTTTTCTTAATCATTATTTACCAAAATTTTTATTAGTCTGTGTTTGGATTTGAGGAGTCAATAATAAGCAAAATAAAATAGGACTACTTTTTCGTTAATCAGAAGAGACAAACATCACAGTCAGAATGATCAAGCAGTAATTACAAAGAAAGCTTTAAAAGACTAAAGATTATTTGTACCAGCATTGGGACTGTTGATTAAAACAATTAAAGCACAATGCTAAATGAAGTAAAAAAAAACACCTGTTGTATACCGGTAGTTCTGTTTCATTAATTGCATTATGTAACCTGCATGTTAGTGCAGCAACATGCATAACAGTAAATACTTGTTATAATAACCATTTTAATGCTTTTTAGCTCTAAATACAGGGTCTTTCACACTGATTGATGAAACCACCATGGTGTATAAAAAATCATCCCGAATATTGATGCTTTTTGCAGAGTCATGTTTAAAATGCAGTGGGCTGCCCATTATTCTTGATAGTGTGTGTGAAAATTCCATGATGGTTCTGAGTGTGCCCAAAACTTTCAAAGTGAGATTGCGTCAGTGGTGGTAGCCTAATAAATGATGTAGAGCCTTTGCACACTGGTCCAGCTCGGTGTTAGAGAATTCGAAGCAGTGATATCCATCGTGGTGGGGTAAGGCTAGTGCATAGACTTAAATATATAGATCACTAGACTGAGCCCCGCCCATCCCGTCCACTGGTAGCGTCTGTGACAGCATGGAGGAGCAGACATGGCGTCTAAAAGGGCAACAGCTCACAGCCTCCATAGAAACTAATAGATAAACAACAAGCTGAACTGGATCTGTTTCGCAGATTATCAGTCATGTTTTTACAATAAATTAATAACTATGTTAATTTCATTCAACAATCATGTAAAACAGCAGATTTATACCAGAAAAATATAAAATTTATAAATAACAATGATCTAAACCAGATCTGAATTCAGCCTGTAACTTAGACTTTAGCTAGTTGAAAAATGATGACTACAGCCAGTAGTAAAGTATATTTATTATTTCTTCTTACTGTCATAAAAAAATAATAATATTTATATTTACCAGTCAGCAGTTAGAAAATGTTCTCTGGTTATAGGATGAAACTTGTCTCTATTAGCTGACATCTTCTTAACAGGTCAGGTTCCCCTAATAGAAACCTAAAAATACTTACATTTATAATATTATTTTACACTCTGTAGGTCTAAATATTAATCAGAGGACAAATCAGCTGTAATATTTAGTAGTTTGTTAAATTGTAGCATGATTCAACAGTGCTACACTCTGTATATATGCTCCACAAGCTAATATCTGTTAACCAGTTCAATAAATAACAGTGATTACATCGACTTCATAAGATTATTTTAATTTTAAACTGTTACATTATGTTCTGCTCAGATCACATTGAGCTCAATAAGATCAAATCTGCTGACTTGTGTTGTAAAATGAGACTTTTTCCTGATTATCTTCTGTTTATAAATCCATAACACAAACAGCTTTTCTGACATTATTTAAAACATTAGATAGGTTATATAAACTGTAAAATATTAATAATAATTGGGTTAATATCATTATTAATAGTTTTAATGATTTCTACATCATCAGTCCTTTTTTCTGCTCTGTTGTCAACATGTACAGTAATGAGAAATCCAGCCTCTTGACCGTTTTGCGTTAGCCGTTAGCTTCTCCAGCCGATCACACGGTCACGTGGTTTCTGTGCACTCCAGCTGTTCTTTATAAACACCTTGAGCTGGTGTGGAAATATCTTGTAACACAAAGAGTTGAACAAAAAGTAGTAAAATAAAATAAGGTATGTCCAGGAGAGAAAGGAGCTTGAATTTGATTTAAAAAAATAATAAAAAACTTCATAGTAGAGCAATTCCGGTGAGCATGAGGCTCACTGTCAGCAAAATTACACTTGAATACTGAACTTACATTTGTGTGATAATTATTGCACAGAAACAGTTTGTACTGCACTAGTAATGGTCCTGTCACACTATAACGTTTTAGACAACTTACACTGGAGATGTCTATGCTGAAGATGGAAAAAAATATCTGATGGAATCCTCTTTTGGACCTATACATTCTGTAACGCTAACAATTAGATCGAATATATACCCTGAGTAACCTATTATAAAAATGTTCATAAGTTGTCTAAAACGTGAGAAAAGATCTTGTAGCGCACAGCGGCATCCTTATGTGGGCTGAGAGGGTTGTGCTGGTGGGGTTGGAGCATGATGTGATTGAGAGCACATATGATGGCGTTGTGGGAACATGCTACTGACAGAGAGAAGGTGAAATGACAGGAGGGCCTTTTTAGAATGTTGGAGTTGGGAGGGAAATACTTCTGGTGAATACTACGAGCACAAGATGATCAGGCAGCATGGTGGATTGGTGGTTAGCACTGTTGCCTCACAGCAAGAATGACCAAAGTTCTCTTCAGTCTTTCTGTGTAGAGTTTGGCTAAGTTAATTTATTTTACTTATTAACCTTTATTTAACCAGGCAAATCCCACTGAGATCACAGATATATATTGCATGCTTTTGGTCTGTGGCAGGAAACTGGGGTACCTGGAGAAAACCCACGCAAGCATGAGAACATGCAAACTCCACACAGAAAGACCTCGGGTCAGAACCGGCGATCAAGCCAAGGAACATTTTGCCTGTGAGGCATCACCACTAAGTCGTCGTGTTGCCAAAAATTGTTGCCAAAAAATTCTCTACTCGTGTTTGAGTAGGCTTTTCCCTGGTTCTCTAGTCCAAATAACGTACATGTTAGGCTGCCTGCAGGCCTGCCTTGCAAAAAAGTTAATGAGATTTGCCAGTTTAAATAAAGGTAACCAAATAAATAATTAAATGATTGCCTTCACACTGATGGATTGTATTCAAATCTACTGCAACCCAGACACATTCTAACAGGTTGTCAGAATTGTAAGAGGGTCATCAACCAGTGGGAAGGAGGCCTAAAGTACAGGTAGGACAAAAAAAAAAACTAGTTACAAATAGAAGCAGAAAAAAACCTGTCCTAAATCTTTCTAAAAACCTTATAAGGGTAACACTCAGATTTTAGGTGACAAATTATTCAAATGGCAGCAATAAAATGTAATTATCTGCAAACTCCTGCTATGATCTTCTAAAATCACACATTTATGGAGTGCATTTGACTCTCGACACAAAAATGCAAATGAGATCCTTTTGAGAGTTACCATTATAAATACATCTATTACCAGTTACATACACGCACTATGGCACACTTTAGATATTGACTAATTAAAATGCTGCACAGATATTTTCTAATTAGGCTCATTGTGCTTCTTTCATGACCTTTTCATACTTCCTAATAGGAATTTTTGTACTAATTACATTTAATTATGCTTTTGTGGTGATTATTCATTCTTGATTACTCAAAGTTTTAAATACAGAACTCTTAAAAAGGTGGATAAGGAGACTGGTTATAGAGTGATACGATATTTACAATAGATTTTGTTATTTGACAGTTTCTTTTTCAAGACTTTTTTTCTGACTGTTTTTGATTATAAAAACCTTTTCTCATTTTGACATTACAATAATCATAACACTGGGTTAATATTCCTAAATTGTGCAGAATAACACAGTAAAGTCTTGTTAATGAAGGTTTTGGAATACATTTTGTTCAATCAAATATTAAGTGTGCCACAGTGGTTGTGGTCAAATTAAACAATGAAGTAAAAAAAAAAACTCCCTCTTTCTTTAGCAGAGCAGTTCATATATTTAAATACTCACCCTTCAGTTTGGGACTCGGTGTCCCTGGGACGGGTTTGACAATTTTCTCCTGCGACTTAGATCCGACTGCAGATGAACATAAAAATGCACGTCACAGAGATGTCGTGACACACAGCAAGGCTTAACAGCTGCAGGATGTTTCCAGTGTGAAAACTACTTAAACTCTAACAAGCTGCAGAATCAAACTTTTCCTTAATTTATCAAGAAACCTTCGCTTTACCATAAATGCTTATTAATATTAATCTTCAGGCTTAGAAAAGATGGTTTATAACATCTTCCCACATACAGTATATTCAAAGTGTTACATTGAACATATTTTTTTCTTGGTTTTATTCTTTCCCATTCTCCATCATCTGCCCCTGCAGACCTCTGCCAGCAGCGTACCTCTGCACACAGGCACCTTGCCAGTCCAGCTGCCGTCAGAGCGGCAGACACGATGCTCCGAACCCCCGGAGAGGAAATAACCCGGCTGACAGGTGTACACCAGGGTGTAGCCATAGGAGGGCAGGTCCAGACCCATAACGTCAGCATTGGCTGGGCTCCTTGGCTGCTTGCAGGAGTGAGCTGGAGATTAAGTAGAGGGCAAATGTGTTTGTATACACACACTCTACTCAAAGACTCAAAGAACAATGCACACACACATTTATGCACACACAAACACAACTGTAAAGAAAAGGAAAGCATTTAAACCTTTTTTACAGAAAGGGATGTGAGGTTGAAGAGAAAAAAAAATAGAAAGGGACGATGAGTAGAGCCTCTGTCAATAACTTATTCAATTTTCATGGTAAGAGATACTTCTAAATAATATGGGGAGTTTGATGTTTGACTTACTATTTTCTTAGAGTGTCGCGGATAAATAAAAAGACAAATCTCTTCCTTGGTAGAAGAATGCCATAAAGTTAAAAAAAAACATTTTTAGTCTATGAATAATAATAATTCTTCACTATTATTTATTTATACATAGAAATGTGTGTCTTGGCTTAATACTGACTTTATTTTTTAACTTAATTTACATCAGAAGTTTAAAAGTCTTGAATGACAAAGCACTAATATCATGTTCTAACGTAGTGCAACACAAGGTCTTGCAGGAGTCATAAGACTTTAGCCAGCATTAGAAATGAAACAATTATTGTTGTTTTTTTAATAAAAAAAATTCAAAGGCAAGGCACACACAAATACTACCAGTGCCCTATTTTACATAGTAAATTTACAGAAATAGCAAATGTCTTTTAAACCTTGGCAGATGAAGATTTCACAATAAAAATGAGCACAGAGGTTGAAATATCTCAAACGTCCTTTTTTCCCACGAGCTTGACTCGGTCTTATTCGGGTCGACTTGGCACAGCTTCAGACTTTTTCCATTGGGTGATCTCACCCAGTTTCAGCTCGGTTCACAGTAACTCTGCTACCATTTTAAGTTAATTGAGTTGAGCTGAAGATATGATGTCATGAGAATGCAGGCCATTGACCAGAGAGCAATGCCAGTCATGAGCGTCTCCTTCACAAGAATAAACCCGGCGATTTTTAAAACCTCGCAAGCGCAGCTTTAATTTTTGTCGGTTCCTACAGCACATAGCTAAACATATAAATGACAAGGATAGCAGGAGAGACAGCTGTTGGCGTATCAGATGTTTAAAGAGAGGCTCGTGTTGTTGGATCAGAAGTATACATACAGTATAAAACATTCCGACACCCTGTTGGTTTGTACGATCCATCATACCTTCATGATACAAATTACGTCACCATTCAGCGGGACACAGCATGTAACCAATGAAGATGATCGTGTCAGAAGTATTTACAGCTAAAACAGGAATCCTAGTACATCCTAAATAACATTACAGTCATTACGGTCTTAAGAAAACTGTTTTTTGGGGGGAGATCGCTTCTCAATCCTTTTACTTTTAATACTTAAGTGCAAAATTGACAGATGCTTTACGGCATTTTACTCAAATTATATTTTTAGAGAAGACTTTTACTTTTATCAAAGTAATTTTATGATTAAGATACTTGTACTTTTACTTAAGTATCACTTTGAGGTACCATATAAAAGACTGGTTGGCTGTATGTTCATCAGCCACGAGGGCGATACAAATCAGGCCCAAATCACACTGTATGCTTTTTAAAGTTTATATAGGATCATTTTATTTTCTCCATTTCAAAACATATCTAAAATATTCATATGCTATAAATGATCGTTTGAAAGTAAGTACTGGATCTGGTCTCACTTTTTACATCATCACATGAAGCAGCTGAACTAGGCAGAGAAAACTTCAGTCATACCAGAAGCGGTTCCTGAGTATAAATATTAGTGGGGCTGATGATCATTTCCTGAATCACTAACCACACAAACTTCACTATTTTTTCATTGCATTTTATATGAAAATTATAAGAATGTATCTTACTTAATACTTATTTTACTGTTTTTTTACACGAAGGTGTCGTTTTTTTTTCTCCATCCCGTGGGTCAAGATTGAGTCTCGTTAAAATAGCCCAGTTAAAAAAATTAATTAGAGAAACGAACACCCCCGGGACCCACATCCACCTGAAACTGGAGTGGTTTTAATTTTAACTGTGTAAAATAAAATAGACTGACAGGTGCACAGCCTTTTGGATTGGATTTCTAATTTGATTTGAAGCAATAATTCTGCAATAAAACACCAGATTAACTAATTTAAATGGGGGGGGGGTATAAATGATAAAAATTAAAAAGTAACAGTGGAATGTCTTATAAGCTTACTTTTTGTATGTAACCAAACCTATGAGGAAAAAAAAGGACTTCTTCTCATACAACTTCAGCCATTGGTTTTATTAGTTTTTTTAAATTGCTTTATTTATTTACAAAACAAAAAGTAACCAGGATTTGAACAGACACTACATTTCTCAATGAGCACTTGCTTAATTTGAAGGGAAATCCTCTATACAGGCTTCTCTGTGCCTTAAGAAGACCACAGTCCTCCCAGGGGTGCAATCCAGTCTACATTTGATTAAGGTTTAGGATTACTGCCCTCTGGTCACACATGGTACGCACATTGATCAGGTCTGCTTGTGTAAGTTAGTCAGAGTCTACTTGGATGACACCTTTAGCTGAAAGCCTCACTCTGAAGGTCTCTGCTTTCACCTGTAAAAGAAACTAAATCTTTAACCCTGACTCAAAATGTATCGTGTGTCTCAGAGGATTGGGTTTTATTTATTATGTTGATTGGAGAGTAAAAGCAAACTTGCGTCAGAAACAAATTTCCGCTCTCTCGTCGTGCCACCAAAAACGCAGCTAGCTCACGTACAACAAACAGCCATGAAGGTGACAGGAAGAAGTGAAAACCAGTCCCTCCAGTTGATTTATGAGCAGTCTCTTCTCAGTGAAGCTCAGAGGATATTGACCCACCCATCACATATTTTTAAGATGAAAAGCAAATGTTTTCCCTCCGGCAGACATTGCTGATATCTTTTAAAAACTTTTTTTTGTGCCACTATTAAACTTTAAAACAAACGGAGCCTGAAGGGAATGTGGAATGGTGAGATTAATCCCCCAAACTCCTCCATTCCCTCAAGCAACTGAGTCTGATGAATTCTAAGGCAGCTTCTTTAACCTAAACTGTACTTTTAATTGGAGTTTACTTCATGTTTTCATCTGTCTGTACATTTAATAATCTCATGTTTTTTGTTTGTTTCTGTTCTTTGCGGAAACACGACTTAATGGTTAGCAATAGGGATGCACGATACCGGTGATCGGCCCGAAACCTCTTTTTACAAGAACTCATACTTGTTCAAAATGCCCTGACACCTGGAACCGATTTATATTTTTGTATTTATAGAACGAGAGCTACACGACGCGTTCTAAGTAAAGCTAATTAAAAATTGATCCACTTGAGTACCAACATGGTCTGACACCGTTACTTTCATATGTTTCTGTAGATTTTTAGTCAAACAAGAAATGGAAAATTCAAAGAAAAAGATAAAGCAACTGGACTTCTGGAGCTGAAAATATGATTGAAATTGCATGACTCACGGTTAGTATCATTATTACTTGGATCCATTTTGTATACTCCAACCTCATAGGCATAAAAGTCTGAGAAATACAACATGACCGTTTAGAACAGTGGTTCTCATTCCTGATCCTCAAGGACCAATATTCTGCATGTTTTAGATGTTTCCCAGCTTTGGCACACTTGATTTAAATGAATGAGCGATTGACAGGCTTCTGCAAAACTTAAAACTCCACTGAAGAGCAGCAAAGCAACTAAAACATGCAGAATAATCCTCAAGGACCAGGAATGAGAACCACTGGTTGAGACAGAGGTTCACTTTCACAAATATCAGATATGTATCTGATTTAGTACCATGTTCTAATTAAAAAATGTGTTTTTATAATTAATGTGTAATGTTTAAGTTCTTAGAAAATACTCGCATCACTAGTCAGTACCCAAACTGAAGTACTCATACTTGTACTCGGTTTGAGGAGAACTAGTATCAGTGCATCCCTAGTTAGCACTGATGCCTCACAGAGTCCCAGATCAGTGTAGGGGTCACCTCAAGTGGAATAACAAGAATTTGTCTCTGAAGCAGGTTCTCAGGTGGGCCTTTAAAGAGACAAAAACCTCTGTTCCACTCTGAACTTAATTTAGGACGGGTCACTCCAACCTCCACAGGTCAACCTCCACTCCACTCCAGCCATGGAGAAGACATTTTCTTCCTTTTAATCAAATAATGAACAGAATACTCTCCATTATTTGTGATTCATTTTTCATTTAACTGAGAAAGTTTATGCATCTGTTAATCAGAGATAATGCTTGTCAAGTTACATGACAGAAGCAGAACAACTTCTTTTCTCTCATTGCGCTTTTAAGATTTATAAAGGTTTATAAAAAGAAACACAGAAAATGTGATTACAAAGTTTTATTGTCTTTGATGCAAATTACTGTTTTTATTTTACTGTAAACAGTAATATAATTGTGGATTTTTCTTGAGAAAATCTTTCATTTAACTAAACTAACGAATGGTTTAGAGTGTGATTATGAAACAGAAATGTTTACATGTTTGAAGTAATCATCATAAAATGTTTAAGTTGAAACTAGGTTTGTGCTCAAAATAACAGTGATTAATGTTTTCAGTTGGTTTCATTGAAAGAGTTCTCAGTAGAGAATAGCTAAGCAGGTCATCATGATATGTTGTTTATTCAACTATGCAGAAGCAATAACCTTGGTTAGATATGGCTGGCGCCTGGCAGTCTAACTTTTCCTGATTATCTGCTCTAACACTTATCGCCGGTGGGTGGAACCAAAGCTTGTTCTTCTTGTACGAACCCAGACAGCTTTGGCAGACACACTTCCTGATTCCAACTCGGAAGATTTTTAGGTTTTCTCTTCACGAGAATTACAGCTTTTTGGCTGAAAAATCTAACTCATGAGCCAACGAGTAGATTTTACAGCCAGGGACTCGATAACATCTGTTGGTCCCAAACACGAGGCCCTACGGCTTCCTTAGTAATTATTATTTTTACCGTCCTTTGGAAGTGATTTTATTTTCGGAATTGATGCAGACCCAGGAGACGCTGGACGTAACGCACT